AGGGCGGCGGCGAGGACGGCGGACGGCGGCCCCGGCAGCGAGAGCGGCCGCGCTCGCTCGCTCTCTCGCAGAGAAAATGGCGCCCGCGAAAACCCCGCCTGGCTCTGGCGGCGCGGAGCTCTCGCGAGGCTTGAGCGCGCGCCTCGCCCCGCGCCTCCCATTGGGCGCCGCGGCGGCGCGCGGCGCCGCCGCCCGCCTCTCCCCTCCCCCTCCCCCAGGCGGCCGTTGGCGGCGCCCGCAGCGACCGGTAAGTGCGGGGGGGGGAAGGGCGGCAGCGGGGCCTGCGGGACTTGGGAAGCGGGGGGTGGGGGTGGGGAGAGGGCTCCGGCCTCGCCGCCCCCGGCGCTCGCGGATGGCGGGAAACAGCCCCGGCGGCGGCAGCGGCGGGAGCGCCAGCGCCCGGCCTGGCCCGGCCCGGAGAGCTTTAAGGAGGCTCTCTTTGTCTGCAGGTTTCGATGACAAGAGGCAAACCTCGTGCTTCTTAACCGCTTAACCGTTGTTTGTTTTTTATTTGTTTGTTTGTTTGTTTATTTTGCCTTTAAYGCGATCGTCCCCGTATGCACCGTAGATGTGATTAGTGGCTTCCAAACCCACGAGCAGGACAGTGTGTGTTAAGCGCCGATGTTGCTGAGACGAGAGCCACGGCGGCTCTGTAGCTCCGCTCTCAGAGGCTGAGCCGGCCCCAGGTAACCGTGGAGTGTCAGGGGAGGCTGCTCCGGTGGGTCCAGAGCTTTCATCCACTGCCCGTGTAACACATGGCCTCAGGGGAACTAATGTTACAGATCCCGACTTGTTTGTGCTGTAAATGGGACCTCCAGCTTCTGTTCATATGACTGATAATCGGAAAGGAAAGTAAGTTACCAGGTCAGTTTGTGAAGTAGAGTTACTGTTCACAGGAGCCCTCCCAGGGATGGACACAACGGTCAAAAGAAAGTGTTKATTTGTCCCCTCTCTTTCCAACCAGATCACATTTACTTCCCTTGTATACTTCCAATTAAACTAACAGCAAAGATGGAGYCGTCAAGGGGGGCTGCCTGTAGAGGTGTCAGTACCTTCCTGATACTCTGCAGTAAGAAAACTACATAATCAGTTTATATTTTCTGGATGGGATTTGCTTACTTAAATGCTGGGAATGTATGTTTGTTTTTAGCATTCTCTGTCTACAGAACTGTCCTACATTGTCACACTTAGAAAGGGTGAACTGAATTGTCAGCAAATGTCTATATAACACTAATGAGAGACATCATAACTTTAGCAATTGACAGAAGAGTAAACTTATCTTTTTGGGTTTTCTTCTAGGGAGTTCACTTTTTATCCTTTTAACTTGAATGAAAATGACTACATCCAGTATTGCTGCAAGAGTGGAAACGTGGCTTTCTTCCGCATGGCATATTAAAGTTCCATTGACATGGCTGGAAGCATGTATTAATTGGATCCAGGAAGAAAATAGTAGTAGTAGTAACTTGAGTCAAGCTCAGATTAACAAACAGGTGTTTGAGCAATGGCTTCTTACTGATCTTAGAGATTTGGAACACCCCATTTTGCCTGATTGTGTCTTGGATAACGCCAAAGGAGAATTGTCTGGCTTCTTCTCAATACAGATTGATTCTCTAGTTGATGTTAGCCAGCCAGCGTATTCGCAACTGCAAAAGCTAAGAGGAAAAAGTACTGTAAATGAAGAAGTAACAGCCAACACTCAGTCTTTCCCAAAGCCCTGGGAAGCAAAGCCCTCTCGAATGCTGATGCTGCAACTGACTGATGGAGTACATCAAATTCAGGGCATGGAATATCAGCCAGTTCCTGCCCTGCACAGTAACCTTCCTCCAGGAACAAAAATCACTGTCCAAGGTAAAGTTGCATATCGTCTTGGAGTCCTTTTACTTAAACCAGAAAATGTAAAATTGCTGGGGGGAGAAGTGGATGCTCTTCTAGAGGAGTATAGTCAGGAAAGAGTCCTTGCTAGATTAATTGGAGAAGCAGAGAACCCTAATCCTGTTGGACAAACTGATCATGAACAAGTTGTCCCAAGGCCTGTAGATGAACTAGGGCAAGCTCTGGGCCCTTCAGATGAAGAACTGTTAGCCAGTCTAGAAGAAAACAATGATTTTACTTTAAACAATGAAACACATTTAGAGAGTGGATATTACAGTAGGAGCAGTAATTTTAGCACAGCCTTAGGTTCACACAATGGAAATGTTTTGCAACAAGAATCTCCAAGTCCTTTTCCTCATTCGGATGAACAGATTCCACATTCCGTAGAATATGCTGATGGATTTTCAAATGACTTTCCTTTGGAAGACGACTTGCTTCTGGAAGAAGAGATCCAAAGAGAGTTGGAAGAAGTGCCACCAGAGGTCAGAAACTTGGGTTTAGTAACTGAGAGCCTTCCACATATGTCTAGGAGCTCGTGTGATTCACCTTTCAATAGTACTTATGAAACAGATGACAAGAATGAGAGAGAGAAACGTGTAGAAACTGTCAGCCATGAAAAGTCTTGGGGAAGGAGACTATCTCCTGGAGATGAAAATAGGACAAATAATACTTCACACTGCAGTAGTGTACATCAGACCAACAGCTGTGTAAACCTCTCCTTGGACAGTACTACCAAAGAAAGGCTCAGTGATACACATCTAACTGAGAGCAAACAAAAACCCCAGGACACTTTTCAGGGAAGGCTGCTCCACAGAGAGCCRTTGTGTTCCTCAGAAACAGAGCCAGCAGCAGGTCAGCAGCAGCACGACATACAAACGTGCGTCYGCAGTGCAGCAGAGGTGCATCATCTTGAATTGTGTTCTCCACCTTTCACGTACATTTCTGTTCTCCTGGCCAAAAGACCAGAAACTGTTACAATTCTGAAAGCCAAATGTTTTATTGTAACTCTAACTGGAAAGCTCACGAGTAGCAATGGGTCCTGGGGTATAAAAGCAAAAATTTCTGATGGTTCAGCCCTTCTAGAGGTAGATTTTGCTGATGATATCCTGACAAGTTTGATTGGATTTTCGGTAGCTGAAATGAATGTGTTGAAAAAAGATCCTRCATCCCGTGCAAAGCTTAAGGATGGTTTGGAAAAATGTCAAAGACAGCTAATAGATCTCTGTTGTTTGATGACTATAGAGTTTAATCCTTTTCAGTCTAAAGCCACTGTATTAGTTCTAGAGGATGCTGATGCAAGGCATCTAGAACAACTGAAGAAACGTTTATATAAATAATGTGTGAAAACTTGCAGAATATGGATTAGGATTCTTTCGGTGAAGATTTCCCCCCAGYGACTGTTAGAAGTCAAAGTTCAGTGATGTGAGAAAAATACTGCATGTGTGAGAGTGGGAAATCCTGGGATAGAGGGGAGGAATTTAGCAGTTTATTTTTTATAGTGACTATATTTAAATAAACTTCAAACATGTTTGACTTAAGAAATTCATGAATCACTTTCGTTCTGCAAAATCTTCCATGCTTTTGAYTGGTGATCAAAACTAGCAGATTTTGTCAGGAAATGGATATTGAAGAGATTAGCTCGTTTTTACACTTAAAAGGTTGAATACTGACCCRATATTTGAAAGGTAGTTATTGGAGACTGCTGGTCTTTTCTCATAGGAAAGCTATTAAACAAAGAATTATGCCAGCTTGAAAATTCGTATACATAATTAGTGTTCAAGAACCTGAAGTGAAGGATCACCTTACTCTAAATTTTCAGGTGAGAAAAAGCACTGTATACCCAAATGGGATAAAAATGTGTGTACTTGTTTTAAAAAAAAAACCTCAAATATTTTAAAATAAACTATTAACAGAAAGAATGATTGTAGCATGGCAAATCTCTTTTTCTGTCATTAACACTAATCATTACTAATAGTTTAGAGTCTGCAGTTTAATGTAATTAGCTTTTATAGTATTTACTAATTTGATCTCTTCACAGAATAGTTGTATACTTGATATGTGTCAGATACATTGTTTTTTATGTCTGTGTTGGCCTTATTATTTCATTTTTAGRCTGTATTTTTTATAAAACCAATTAAAGTTTGAATGAATTTATTTTTTTCATGGAAGCTCATTAGTACCTTTGAAAGGAAATTGGGTGTCTCTAATCCTGTCTGGGGTAGAGGATGAGTGGCAAGAGAATTCTGTGCAATTTTGATATAACTTGCTAAGAATGTAGAATTAGTAGCTAAAAGTGYAGTTTTTCAATTGGACCGGTGGACTCTACCATCTCTAGGTAATGGCTACTAGACCTTGGAAACTKCTGTAAGGGCTTGTTGATACAACCTTCCTCCTTTCCCTGCCCCATTCTAGCTTCACAAAAGGAGACATCTCTTTATACTCCAAGTGATTCAGGAAAACATAGATATTACTTAAGTAACGTAAAAATGTTGAGGTGCTGGGTGGGAAAGGTTTCTAAGACATCCTCTTTTTTAGGCTTTATTTCATACAATTAAGAAGTTCCTGCCTCCTTTTGCTTCCTCACTTCCTTCTTCTCTCTWCTCTAAAGAGGACTTGAGCAAACCATGCACCACAGAGTCGTTTTTGGGCCCTTTATTTTCTGAGAAGCTTTTGGAGATTGTGCATTAYTTAGAACTACAATAGGAAGAGCTACAAAGGAACTGACCAAGCTTCATCCCATGTAATCCCTTCGGTAGGAAATGCAGGTAATGATAAACAGCTTTATGGAAACACCATTTTTTTCTTGTTATGTAGTGTATGGAATTAGCTTAATTTCTTTCAAAGTGTYGGGTTCACCTTGAAGAAGGTTGAGGTATGTTAAAGATTCAACTGGATTAATAATCTATGGTTTTTATTCTGATTGTGAAAATCAAGAGTGATGTCATGCAAATTATTTAAATGGAGTAAGTGTTACCTTTATCTCAGCTGATCAAGTAAGACTTGCCCCTCTTTTTTCAATCTATATTAAGGAYTAATCATCTCTGCTAATAGAAGTTCATGCTTCACTGTCCTTTGCCTTACAGGCACTGTGTTTTCCTGTCTTTTCCTTCCCCACCCCCCTCACTGTCCTTGCCTTGGTTTTCGGAGTGTTCTTCCTGGAAGGCTGCCGCTCTGCTCAGGCACGAGCAACATCAATCTCAGTGCCATTGAGCTGTTCAGCGCTTGACTTTGCACAGTAAATACTCCAATGTCATTTTCTGACATACAATGATTCCACATCCATATTTAAACCTACAGAATAGAGAGAAGTATTACATGGTTTTGTAACTTTCAGACATAAAAAAGAACGAAAGGAAATGATTTTGAGAACACTCAATTAATGGCAGCATGTCAAATGGAAAATGCTGTTTGTGATTCTGTATGCATATGTGATTCTGTACTTCTGTCTGTAAGTGAAGTTGTCGGTTTCTGCTTATCCTAGTGCGTCAGCTATCAAATCCAACATCTGTATTACTAGTCCAGCAGTTTTGCTCTCCATATAGGTATGTTGCCTTTCTGTGCCAGGTACATCTCAGTTTTTCACATAATCAAGAGTTCTGACTGTGGGCCAGATTCAGGGAACAAGCTGTGTCCTTTACACACTCTGGAAAAGATTGGGAGTAAAAGTATGACCATGTTTCTGCTTGAAAGGGCCCCAGAATTCCTGTACAAGCTGACGATTGCTGTGACGATTGTACAAGCCAATTGCTGTGGCAACCCTGAGTACAGGTAGCCCTCCAGCAGAAAGCGGTCCTTGCTCTTCCACTCTTTGTGCTATTTCACACATCCACTTTTTCTTGGATTTTTTTTTTTTTTTCATCTGTTGAATAGCCTTACACATTTGCAGTGTTTCTGTTGAAATGCAGAAGCTTTCTTCTTCAGGAATGCTTTCATGTTTATTGCAGATGTGCATTCTGCATTCTTTCATTACTGATCACTTCTGCCTCACTCACTTTTAAGAGTATGAAACCAGCAGTGTTGTCACACGAATTCTTGTATGTTATTAATACAGAGGATGAAAGTTTGCTCTTGCTGCTTTTTCCCACTCTTTCAGAAACTGAAAGCAATGCCTTGGCTTTGGTTCTGCCAGTTATTTGTGTTGGAAGATCTCGTTTAAAACCTCCMCTACTAAGACAAAGAAGGAAGTAGAAGGAAGAATAATCTATGAGAAATTTAGCTGTGCCCTGCCTCCAACGAGGGCATTCCCTGGCAGAGTATGGAGCAAGGCTGCAGCCGGAGCCAGGAATGTGGCAGGATTCCRAATAAACAAGGCTGTAGAGAACAGCTTGAGGACTCAGCTAATCCTACTAGATAATGACCTGGCCACAGCAATGTCTGTGTTTAAAACCTGGCAGCTCCTTTCTTGTTGCATAAAGGCAGCATTCTAAGGAAACAACAGCTAATTGTAATGATGTCATCTTAAAACGACAGGGAAGAATATTAAAGGACGAAGGAATTCCTAAAGGATGTTCAGTCTGAAAGTGTTACTGTGACTTCCTKTTAATTTGATACTTCTGTGAAAATTCTTCTTCAGGTATGGTCTGAAGTTAAGTAGAGAATGGAATGCACTTAGATGAAATAGTTATAAAATATTAATAGCTTTAAGCTTCCCTGAAGAGAGAGAGGAGTGACATACTGTGAAGTATTTGGGGGTTATCTGGTATCAAGCAAACTTAAATGTATTTACCAGGGAAGAAAGGGCAAAACCGGGTTTAAAAAGTAAATATTAATTTCAGATCCAATTCTCTGTGTTACAGTACTAGACAAAACAGAATGTTAGAATAAGGACAGCAAACTGAAGGCTAAGGGCAGCTTGACACTGAAATTCTTTTTTCAATCTGAAGTATGATTTAGATTTTTTTTTCTTGTATAGGTGTTCTAGCAGTGCAGAGTTGCAGCGCGTTCTGTGCAGATCTGTCCTGTTCCTGCCTCGTAGCCTCTTTCCAAGGCTGMACAAACCCAGTTTTCTGTCTCTCGTGTGTTTCATCCCCCGGAGAGCCCTGGCAGCCGCCTCCTGGACTTGTTCCAGACTGTTTCACGTCTTTCTCATGCTAAGGAGCCTGAACCTGCAGCCGGTGCTCTGCCTGCTGCCTCTCGAGTGCTGTGTGGAGCTGAAGGATGCCTGTGCTGGGCCACTTTGCTGCTCCTCTTTGCTGCAGGGGCTCTCGCCTGGCTTGTGTTCAGCCTGCCCTTCAGGACACACAGTTCTTACTCTGTGAAGCTGTTTTATAACTAKCTGGCCCAGCCTATCCTGTTGTGTGGGATTATTCCCACCCAGATAAAGGATTTTGTGAATGCTTTTGTTTAACTTGATGAGCTCTCTGACAGTCTCATTCCAGCCTCCTACAGTCYGGGTTTGACTGCTCCCTCTTGGTTTGGGACCTTCTCTTTTGCATTCGCTTTATCCACAGAGTCATTAATCTCAGCATAGGAGATAATCAGATTGGTCAGGCATGATTTGCCTTGGATTTGCCCTTGTTCCCAATCACCCTTTGGCGTTATCTCTCAGTAGATCCAAGCAGATCTCCTAAGTACATGCAGTTCGTTCTGAAGGTCAGTGGTTGTGATTTTATTATTTGTCTGTGTTCTCCCCAGATTTTAAACTCTGCAACTCATGGTCACTGCAGTCAGACTGCTCTCAACTTTCCTTTTTCAGTTCTTTCTTTTTGGAAGGTCCCACAGAGCATTCTTCTCATTGCCTTGTGGACCGCTCGTGTCTTTTGTTATTTGAATTTTTTTTTGTAAATTATTTAAGAGAAGGACTTTTATCATAGGTTTCACATTTTAATGCAAGTCACTGTTAATCTGATCTTTACAATACCTTTTACTGTGCTGTAGTGTTACAGAATGAGGGAGGAAAATATTGTTTCACTGAAAAATACTACTTAAAAAGCAATATAGCCTATTGTTTTGTAGCAAATGAATATTAAATCCACTTTTTACACTATTTTCAAGGTCAAAACTCTCAATTTCCAAAATAAAAGGAGAAAAGAAAAATTGTGAATATGAATAGGAGTAAGACAAATGTTACCTGCTTTGGGACTGCACTTGGGTTGGATGATCAACCAAGACATGCTTAGAATTTTTGTGTTAGAGATAGGAAGCCTTTCAGGGCAAGCAAGAGTGTTTCCCTATCTTTTTTGAAGCCAAAGAAAAAGAAGCCTTCCTCAGTTCTGTAAAAACTCCAAGAGCAGTAAGAATTATAATCTATGTGACTGAAAGCATTTAATTTTCAGCTAAATTACACATCTAATCTGTAGAGGAAGGTGAAAACTTGGAAACCTTCCATACTTAACATTTCTTGCTAGTATTTGCATCTCCCTGCTCAGCAATTCCTTTAAAGACACCTAATTCCATATGGACTCTGCAGAGAGCCTAGCTGGCTAACTAGACAACTTCTCAATGTGGAAACAACTTATTCACATTTTCATCTAATTTTGATAGTTTTAAAACTTTGTCCTTTCTTTTCATTTGCTGTAAGGAAAAGTAATCATAGTTATTATTTATGTGTAAGGAGTCAAAGGCTTTGTTTAGTGATGTTGATAATAATTGCAGGACAAAGTATGAGGAAACAGTTCATTAACTGTAGTAGGTGGTAGTCTCACTCTTGGAGTGCTGGTGGATTGATAACCCTCACAAAGCACTCTTTTGAATTAAAAATCACAAAACAGTAAGTTGAAAATATGCATATGTACAAAAAAAATCTGACGTGAAAGTCTGGTTTTATGATAATTTAAAGGAAGTATTCTATTTTACTAATAGCACTTAGCTAATG